CATCGATCCGCCCGTCTGTGCCGAGCTGCGACCTTCAGCCACCTCTGCCAGCCAGCCAGCCCCAGCCGGGCAGCCCGGGGACGGGGGCCAAAGAGGCACCGTGCGGCTCTCATCGGTCTTGGTCCAAAGGTATTTAGAGGGAGGCCAGGCGGCCCTGGCAGGAGCAGGCATGTGGGACAGCTCCCCCGAAGGATGGGCCCCTCGCCGGGCACTTGCACAGTCACAGCTGTTACCAGATGGAGGGGGCTCACGGGATCCCACTGGGCCCATCTGTCCCTCTGGACGCAGGATCCTTCACACCTCCAGCACCGGGGCTCCCAGCTAATGTTCCTTCCAATCTTGCCCATCAATATGCGGATTGTTTCCGTTTGTGTGCAGAATAAAATGTCGATGTGCACCAAGGTATGTGCAAATGTGCACCACCCATAGACACACAAAACCTAGCTGTGGGCGCTCTGCCTGTCAGCTGAGCGGCATTTAAATCTCTCCCAACCAGCCGCACAAACGCTCGGCTGACAGGGAACCTGCTCCCCGCCCTTTCCTGGGGAGACAATTCCCTGGCCTCAGACATCCCGCTGGCCGGGCAAGCTCCTTGATACTCGTCACGCCAGTTCCTCGCCCTGCTCCCTGAGTCCGACCCGCGTGTCCTGGAGGTGGCCAGCTTGGGACGTGGCTGTCCCGGCCCAGCAGCACGAGGCCGGCAGGTGCCTGGCAGGGCCACATGGGACTGCTTTCCTTCCCTAAATACATGCTCACCGGGATGCCAGCCAAGTTGGCAGGGATGGAGAAACCCGTCACCAGGCAGGGCGCTTTCTGCAGCAGGTTTTCCTTCGGCCCCAGCCCGTGCCGAGAGCGGCCGGAGTCTCCCGTGGGTGGGGACACAGCCCCCTTCTGTGCAGCCCAGACCTGCAAGCCCGGGCCCGGCGGCAGGGCCGGTGGGCCGACACGAGCGGAGCGTCGGGTTCCGAGGCCGCAGGGCACACAGATCAGGTCTCAGGTATCCGGCAGGGCCAGGCTGCGGCTGCTTGGAAACTTAACCCAGATCCAGCCCGGCTGGCAGGGGAGCGGAGGCGCGCGATAGACGGTGCTCGCGCCGGCGCGCACGTGCCCACGGAGGAGCGGCAGGGACCGATGCCGGAGGCAAGGCTGAAGAGCCACTGGGGACGTCAGAAATTCCCCCCCGCACAGGAGAGGGGAGTGCTGAGGTGAAAGTCTTGCTGAGGGGCTGTCTTGGCACGGCTCTGCCTGGTTCCTCAGCCAAGGCGAGGAGGGAGGCTGCTCTGGCTAACAGCCTGCGTTGCACATTCCAGCTGCATGCCACGGCGCCGGAGGGGCCCGGTGCCCACTCTCCCACGGCCAGGCAGGGTGGGAAATTCCCCCCCGCACAGGAGAGGGGAGTGCTGAGGTGAAAGTCTTGCTGAGGGGCTGTCTTGGCACGGCTCTGCCTGGTTCCTCAGCCAAGGCGAGGAGGGAGGCTGCTCTGGCTAACAGCCTGCGTTGCACATTCCAGCTGCATGCCACGGCGCCGGAGGGGCCCGGTGCCCACTCTCCCACGGCCAGGCAGGGTGGGCTTCCCCACCGCAGTCAGAGTGGGGCGAAGCAGGGAGACCCTGGAGACAGGGCAGGGTGGGCTCCCAGGCTGGCTGGGCCCCGGAGAAGGATTT